CTACTAGTAAGGCACCTGTTACTACTAGCGTGGCACTTGTTACTAGTAGCTTCTTGTTACTACTAGTAAGGCACCTGTTGCTCCCAGTAAGAGCACCGAGAACACCGGTCCAGACCGCCGCATCCCGACGTTTTCCTCGTTGGGCACTCGGCACCCCGACCACGCTGGGAACTGCTGGGGTTTGGTATTGAACTTATAAGGTGGTTTCAGAGGTTCGATGGCACAGACCCCAAGATGTCCTTTAGATGGGGGTCCATATAAACCACCTCTTGCGGGCTGTGCAATCTACTCTCAATCCACTATAAGGTGTTATTGTTTGCATAACCTTCTTGGGCCAAATCAGCGGAATTTCGCCGTATTCAGATCTAACTCCATTCTCGCCGGCGCGGCGAGCTAACCGCGGGCGCAGGTGGTGAACCAGCAGTTGGCGTTGACGAGAGCAGCTGCAGGCCGTAGATGCAAAATATGAGTGTATTTCCTGTAGGCTCCAAACCTCCATATGTGGAGAGGTTTCACATGGTTTTGCCAGCGAAATGGTTGGCCCTTTGTTAATCAAAGGGCATACATGATGGGGGAGGGAGCTGCATCACCGTCAAGTGGCCCAGCAGGTCGCGAGAGACCACCGAAGCCCCCCAAAAAACCACCAGCTTGCTGGAGCATGGGGCGAAGAAGAGGAAAGGCCTCACAAAAAAAGGGCCATAAATCCAGGCATGTCCGATCTCCACTTGCGGTTCTAGTTGGGTTTGTTGCCAATCGCACTGCTTTCGACGACTTGTGGGGACAAGACAAGAGGTAAAAATACTAATGATGAATTACCATTAACGTAGCAGGATTCGCGAAAGAGCCAAATCAAAAGTCATCGACGCAGCATATGGCTCGGACGCATGGGAGGATTTTTTGGCAACGGATGTTCGAAGATCGAACAGTCCAAAAGCAGTTGACGTGGTCTTGAGTCTAAAACGTGTGCGGCCCCCAAACCAGCCCCAACACCAAAAAGGCAAGTCCAAGGTCCAAGCATCCCTGAAAACCCATGATTGCAGCATGATTGCAGTGTTTCCTCAGACACTCATTCTCCTCCCCCTCCAACTCCACCCAGCCTTTCCTGTGGCCTTTTTCCGAGCCAAGCTCCAACTCCGCCGGGCGCTCCCACCGGTTGTGCCCCGCGCCGTTGTCCGTGCCGTAGCGACGTGGGAGGCGGCGACTCCCCGGACCGCGATCGCCGAGCCTCATTTTCCTCCTCGCGCGGCTCCAGGCGACGGGTGGGTGAAGGGCCTGCGAAGGGCCCCCCTTCTAACGGCACATGAAGAGGATGTGGAGCACTTGAGAAGAACACTGGAGAGGAGGTTGCTTTGTTTTTGGTACCCAGAAGAACACTGACTTCAGAGGGGATGATGGGATGTGCTTTTTGGGGCTCGCAGCTGCTCATGCCTTGTACAGTCATACTGCGTAGGGGCTGGTACGACCAGTGCATAGGGGGAAATGAGGATGAGTCTGTGAGGAATGTTGATTGGGAGGAGGCCTTCCCTCATTCAGCACCAGTCAGTGTATAGGAACATACAGGAACCGAGTCCAGAGGCGGTTTGGGGGGCTGAACCTTCAATTGAGGGAGAGGGCACATAGCCCAATGTCGGCCTTGGAGATAGATAGAAAGAGCGAGAGAGCACCGAGGAAGCAGCAACGAAGAAAAAAACAAAGCGTCCCTTTTACCCCACGTGATAGCCAAAAACCGTCTCCAAATGCCCTGTATGGATGATTGCCCTTTGCCACACCATGAATAGAGTCATGCTTGACACAACGTGTTTGAGGCAACGAGTTCACCTCAAGTTGACAGTTCTCACGTAGTTTCTCACGTCCATTTGATTGCAATTATTTTTATAAAACCGATCACGATCCTGCTTTGTATGAACCTCATGATGTTTTATGTATGTGTCTAGCATTTCGGGGTGGTATCAAAGGGGTTGCTGCGTGCACGTATCCAACCTCAGATATTGAGCACAACCCCTTTGTACCGTCAATTGGTTATTAGGGCTCTTCCTTGCACGTGTTGAGTGAAGATGCATGCCCCACGATTCCCATTTTTGGACATACATTTGGACTATGTACACTCTGACTCACTAACTGAACATGGAAGTGGAAAATGGCCCCAGTCCATTTTCCTCTACAACCAGGTTGTTGTCCATTTCCATGTCTTCGTCGCAGTGTTGTCCATGTGTTCTTTGGCCACTCTCCTTCGTTCCACAACGCAGCGCAGCTCCCCCCCCGCAGCGCACCGCGCACGGAGCGCACCGCAGGTCCGAGAGCAACCTCTGGAGCTGACCGAGCCGGTCCACGGGGCGACCGGTCCGCAGGGCACCGCAGACAGTGCAGACGGAGCGTGGCAAAGACCTGGTGGACGACGGTGGTCAAGTCGACTGCGCACGAAGACGGTGCCCGGTGCTCCGATGTTTGGGGTGCTCAAAACGTGCGCAGTCGACGAGTCGAGGAAGATCGTCCGGATTGGAGGAAGGGTTTCGGGTTTGGAGGTTTTTCAAGTGAAAAGTGATGCATCCGAGGATGTACTCATGCCTGAGACCGTCAATGGGCAAAAGGCAATTCTGGCAATTCTTAGATTTCTTAGGAACCTAAGCCGTTGGGAAGGAGATCAGGCCATTTGCTGCGCTGGTTCGTTGGAGAACACAGCTTGCTAAGCAAGTCTGTCGCAGAAGATACAGTGCTGGCGCTGCCAATCGAAGCAGCCTTATGTCAAACACATCAATGACAGCTTGACTAGGACATGCTGATGGAATTCTGGGTTCAGTGTCGGGTGATGATCCTATTGAATGACGAGCCTGAATCCACAAGAGGGGCTCCGTTGTGAAGAACTGAACATGTTCCAGCCGCTCCCAGATGGAAGGGCATCACCTTAATTACACCTCCAAATGAAATACATATAATATATATATAATATAATTAATATATAGGCATGATAAAGCCATCACCGTGAAACTTGAAATGTGCTTACGCAGACACCCGTGCCTGCGTCCCGAATGTTTCTTCGTTTCACCCTGCCGCAGCCTGCCGCGTGATGCCTCTTGAGCCGGGCACGAACCCCCCACGCGCACAGGAGATGGTGGCTTTTAGGATGCAACAACCCCCAAGCACTGCCCGTTTTTCATGGACACAATATATGCCTACATTGACCACCGAAAACGCTCCAATGTAGGAATACATGGAGTGCCGGAGAACTTAAGAGCAGCTTGGTGGTAGAAACCAGGTTTGTGGGCCTGTGCGCAAATGAGCCACATAAAGGTCCTCAATCGACAGTAGGGATGTTTTTTGGGTGTGCACACCCATGGATGGAGAAGATGTGCCTGATTCAGCTTCAAGTAGCCTCCGCTGTGCGCGTGAAGTGGGTCATTGTCCTTTTTGGAAAGATTAGCCAGTCCACCGGCTCGTTGCAGTTTGCGGCACTTGATTTTCTCAACTCTTAACAGTATCATCTACTTCTGTGTTTCCAATGATATGGGCGATTGCATTTGCTTACACCAGACATGTATAGATAGATTTCCATACAGCGTAACAGCATTCTGAAAACAAAAGAGCACGAACAGCTCTTGCAGGAACGCGCTCTAATGCAGGGCGTTTCGCGAGAGTAGAGAGGCGCTAAAACGGCATCAAAAGGCTGCACCTGTGGGTCCTTGTTCAGCTCGTTGAAGCTGTTTCTGGTGGGTCACAGGTTGACGTTTTTGAGTGCACATGGCATGCCCCGGAATGTCATTCCATGGTTACGTGGAACATGGCCCCGATTTCGTGTGAGCATGTAAGACCATGTAAAGAGCAAGGAGCTGCATGGTGAACTCCATTTCCACGACTAGTTCAGGCGAGTGTACTAAAACCCACCCTCATTTGGAGGGTAAAAACCTCTTCATGGAGCTTTTGAATTACCATCGAAGTCAAGAGTGTATATACATCTATCCATATCTATCCGATGACTGGCCTTGGTCCTCCCCTCCCCCCAAAAAGAGAAAACGGTTTTCTTAACAAAATCATACTTGATCCTCCTTGGTCCCATGTGAGTAGTTTGGGGATGTTCACTTCCTTTCTCCTGCCATCTCGGATATGATCCTGAGGACCCGAGGTTGTACAAACCGACCAACTCAGAGGTCACTCAGGTTCCGAACGAGTTGGAGTGACCTGGTTGTTCCATCCTTCTTTTGACAGATGTTGTATGTTTCCAAGGGGGTCCCAAACGGAGTTCAGAGGTTGTACAAAGCAGGCATTTTCCTGGTGCTATTTGGTGGTTCTATTTGTTGTTTCAACCTTTGCTTGGGGATGATTGAACATGGATTTGAACCCACCGGCATGTTCTGGGTTAGATAAAACGACATACACTGGAGCAAACATGGAAGTGGATGGCCCTTGCAGGACCCTTTTCCTCTACAAGCAGGATTTGTTTCCACTTCCCGGGAGAGTATTTATATGTATATAACTATATATGTATATGCATATATGGCTGTGGGTCATGGCACCCGAAGCCTAAACCCTGGTAGGTTGAGTTGATTCATATCTATTCTGTTCCTTTTCGGTTGGAAAAAACAGGATCTCCCGGTTTTGAACCACAGCCATATATATATATATATAGGTTGCATGCCTTCCTCTAAAGTTTTGTGATAATTGTTTACCGACTGTTACAGGTAATAGGACACCCGTATATATGGTACCCCACTATATAATAGATTTAAGCAAAAGAACTCAATGTTTGGTAGACTTTTGGGGGCGTGGTGCTATATGCGTATATATATATATGTACACTATACATACACTTGTATAAATTTGGCCCATATAGTGAGTCCCTTCCGTATACAATCTTGACAAATTAGGTCTTGCTCGGCAAGAAAGGCTCGATGGTGCGCATGAAGTCTATATATTATATA